AGAGAGAGAGAGAGAGAAAGAGAAAGAGAGAAAGAGAGACATGAAAGAAAAATGAGACGCCATCAGCGAGTGTTGTTGTGCGCCACGGGGTAGCCGTGGCGGGGTCCACTTGTAATAATAATAATAATAATGTGTTTTTCGGTTTTTGTTTTTTTACTCATGACTGGGTACGAATTTGAACATGACTTCAAGGCAAACGTTGCTTGTATTGTTATTTTACATAACATATATTTGTTTCAGATTTTTCTGAGAGCTTTTTTTTTTTTTTTTTTTTTTTTTATGTTTGCGTTTGGAGGTTTTTGGGCACTTGTTCGCATTTGGGCCAACATGTTCATGTTCACCTCCGAATGCAAACACGGTGCTACGTAGCTACAGACCTTTAAATTTTCGAAGTGTTCATGGCATTTTTCAGAATGCGAAAAATCACGGAAGTTAGGGTACTTTTTCCTTTGGCCCACGCGTTGGAGTGGCAAAAACTAGGCTACCATCCGTGCCGCCCTGGTCCTGAGTGGCCAGCCCGTGCAAGGACCAGGGAAGGTTTCAAAAAAAAAAAAAAAAAAAAAAATCCAAAAACTCCAAAAAAAAAACTATGCTATGCAGAAAAATAAATTGAACAACTTTTGCCTCAGGGTCACATCGAAATTCTTCACCGAATTTAGAACAAAAGTTCAATTTTAAAAATATTTTTTATATTTTTATATTTTTATATTTTTATATTTTTATATTTTTATTTATTTTTGGCCCGGCCGGGCAAGTGACCCCGGGCCACTTTGGTAGCCTAGGGCAAAAATGAAAAATGTGACTAATATGCGTGGCATTTATTTAATGGTCTGTAGGATTTTTGCTCATTTTTATGATATCTTTCCCGGAAAGATCAGGGCCTATTCTACATAATCTCAAAATTTTTGAATTTTGTTTCCTTATTTTTTTTAAGTGCAAAAAATTGCCAAATTTGACGCGTTAAAATTGCGGGATTGGACCCACCTGCGCCTCTCGGTCGGCGCCTCCCCTAAAGACCCGCTCCGAACTCACCGGAATGTCACTTTTTCATTTTGTTGTCCTTCTCTTACTTGCAATTGCCCTAAGGGCCTCACACCGCTAGTCACCACTTGCACAAAGACAAAATATATAGTAGCGTATGGTTCCATGTTTTAGCAGAAGATTCATTTTTTTTTTGCACATTTGGTCAGTGGTGGAGGGAAGCCCTGAAAATCACATGCATGTAACATGTTTTAGCAGAAGATTCAATTTTTTCCTCCACATTTGGTCACTGGCAGTAATGGAGGGAAGTGTGATATCACATCCAGCATAAACGACTTCGGTAGAAGCGCAAGCAAACGACAATCATGAATACCAATCTAAGTTACTGTCAGAAAGGTCGAAGGCGTCAGATGGGGACGAAAGAGAAAGCAAGTGAGTGAGACCTCGCCAAACAGCAAGGTAGAAAACTGGAGGAAGAGGAAAGAAAAGAAAAAAGCATAACACCAGGACAAAACAGTATCTCCCGAACGCGACTTTCAAAAAGTAAAACAATGTAGTGCAGGCGGAATGACCCGACTGGTTTCGGTCGGCCGCCACCGGCGCTTGTTAGGGGTCTTAGTCGATGAGGAGGTGTCTAGCTATTGGCAGACATCCTATTTATATCCTGTGTTGTATGGAAATCGTCACTACTAGAACATTCCTCACCTCTTTAAACATACTCAAGTTTATCCGCTGACCACACATGTACCGTCGACTCCGGGACTGACACCCGATACTCAACAGAGCCTAAGTCCTACGCAATCGAAGTTCAAGCCCACCGTCCAATACAGGCTCTGCGAAAAACAGAGGGACTGGAACCATTGCCACCGGGACTGAAATCCATTTCCCTCGGGACAAATCCCAGGGACTGAAACCCTGGGTTTTACCGCCAACACGTCAGGAACTCAGGATTCGATACCCACAGCCACCGGGAAAGAAACCCATCTCAAACAACATGTACCGACTCAGGGACTGAAACCCCGGGTCTTACCACTAATACGTCAAGATCTCGGGACTGATACCCGCAGATCATACCAAAGCATTTCTTCACAACCTCGGGACTGACACCCGCAGGTTTACAAAAAACTTCCTGTAAAAACAGGATCCTTAGCAAGTTAGCTCAGGATCTGAGTTGCTACAGATAGTCAAATCACGACTTTCCACGCTAATTCTCAACAGTTCCCCAAGCAAACCGTCCCCAATTCGTGAGAATGGGGATCCAATGCTTCCAATAGTCAGCAATTTTTCGTGAAAAAATAATCAGGGTCCGGTCAAAATAGTTGTCAGGATACCCTCGCATCCAAAGTTCATGCTTCAACATAAAGAGAAAAGGTAATTCCAAACCAGGGATGGAGGTAAAAGTCTTCGCACGATGGAGAAAAGAAATAATCACAGCAAGCTTCTGCCGTCTACAGGAGAAAGATCGATAATCTTGAATGCTTTGAAAAATCAGAGGGCCATTGACCTTTCCCAACTGATTCTTATGCTTAGCCATACATACACCCGACATGGATTTTCCAGAATCATTTGCCCGCACCCGATAAAGTCCCATTCATGCGGAGGGAAACCCTGAAAATCACATGCAGAGTTAGTAAGTTAGTAACCCATAACTCCTGAAACACGGACCTGAATTCAGTATAGCTGGCCTCCTACTTCCTCACTATAAGTGCAACCCCCACCTCTTTCTTGGCAAGGGGACTCCTGCTAATTATCTGCAGGGGCCTTTCTGAAAACCCACAGGGGTGCTCTGATTTATGTGAAATGGCTCTTTGCTCTCTCTCTCTCTCTCTCTCTCTCTCTCTCTCTCTCTCTCTCTCTCTCTCTCTCTCTCTCTCT